GTGAAGGAGTGCCTGGTGATGCGGGACCCCCTGACCAAGAGATCCAGGTGAGGCCCTCTCCCTCTCCTTCTGCTGTCGGTCCAACAACACCCCCGCTCGACCCCCCAATCCGCCACTCACTGCCTTGTAACCATCTGCCTCTCCCCACTACCGCGCGCAGGGGCTTCGGCTTCGTCACTTTCATGGACCAGGCGGGGGTGGATAAAGTGCTGGCGCAATCGCGCCACGAGCTCGACTCCAAAACAGTGAGTGGCCCTCGGGGATTGGGGGGCCTTTGGGAGAGGAAGGCTGCCCCGGGGGTCAGCTGGACTGGGGCCTTGAGGGAGGAGGGGGGGGCTTTCTGAGTTAGAGGGTTGTCATGCTCTGAAACTTTCTCATCAGAGTTGGGGGGGGGGCAGTGGGGAGTGGAAGCAGAAAACCCCACCTTTGCGGCCCGCACCCCTGGTCTAATGAGAGAAGAGGCGGCCACCAGCACCTCCCTCCCTCTAAGTACTAATCACTAATCGTGGTGCTTCGGGGCGGAGCTTGGTGTGGGGCTAGGTGAGTCAGGGCTGTAGAGACCCACCCGGTGGCTTCCCTCAGCTCTAACTAGTATTTGGTTCAGACACCCCCACCACCACCACCACCACCCATTCCAGACCAATGGCAAGGCCTGGCTCGCCAGCTGCACCCTTCCTCCCCCACTGCTGGTCAGTGAGCTTTTGTGTGAAAGGCTGGGACCTGCTGGCCCACAAGGGATTTATGGGAAGGGAGGTAGCTGGCCTGAAAACAACCCTGACCGACCGACCCCCCCTGTGAGGACTTGCTCTCTTAGCAAGACACTGCTTGTTTGGCCTTCAAACTCCTAGAACATTTCACCCCACTGTCCCACTGCTCCTCAGGGTCCAGGGCCCTGCAGGGGGCGCTGGCGGAGGCCAGGCTCTAGGGGGAGAGCAAAAAGAACTCCAGAGGAGGGGTGACTCTGGGATAAGAGTGTGTGTGTGTGTGTGTGTGTGTGTGTCTGTCTGTCTGTCTGTCTGTCTGCCTGCCAGCCAGCCAGGGAGTCGGAACAATCCGTTCTCCTCTCTCCACACTACTCCACGCTGGCCAGGCCGCGGGCCTCCCTGCCCAGGTCAGCCATGGGCTCCTGTTTACCTGCAACAATAGCTGCTTGTGCCCAAGAATTTGTTAAATTGCCGCCTGTCCCCAGCTCCTGTTATCTCTGCCCAGTGGCTCCCACTCCCGCTCGCAGTAACGAGCAAATGAGGCCTCAACTTTGCCGACTCTGTTTGAAAGGATCTTCTTGGCACAGCCCAAGTGACCTGGGAGTGGAGAGACAGTGGCCTATTGTTTTGGTGATTATCTGCCATCAAGCTGCCTGTTCTCCTACCATCCCCTGTCCTCAGAATGCACCGCTGCTTTGGGGCCCACCAGCACCCAGGAAGCTGAGACAGTAGAGGCTGGGGCTGGGGGCGGAAAGGAGGAGGATGCTTAAGAGGGAAGGGGGTGGGGAGGGCAGAAAGGAGGGTGAGGTGGCTGTCCTGAGGGGACTCAAAGGGCAAGGGCTTTGTGTGTGCATGTCCTCCTCCAGCCTGGAGGAGGGAGGTTTACTGAGGGGAGTCTATTTTGGGTCTTGACTTTCACCTTTTGTTTACTTGTTGAGTTTATTTATGTTGCCAGCTGTGAGTCAGAGTGGAGCTGAGCTGTGGCAGGGATGCGTGGGTTTCTGGATGCCTTGTGCGGGAAAGCCCAGGCAGGGTTCATCCAGGGGGCCTGCGGGAGGTGTGCTGGTGGCCGAGGAGGCAGTTTCTGGACGAAATGGAAGGATGGGAGGATCCTTTGAGATCCAGTCACAACTTCAGTCAGAGGGGATGAACGGGCTGCTGGGATTCTGGCCCTGGAGCCCCATCGGACTTAGGGGCAGAGGAGGAGTTGCCTCAGCGTGGCTTCTGGAACTTCTGTCTCAGTGGGCAGATTCCAGAGGGGGGAGCCCACAGGAGGATGGTTCGATTCAGGCAGGAGAGAAGCCAGGGCCAGATCCCTAGAATGAGGCTGAGTTTTAAAGAGAAGGAACTTTGGGGAGGAGAGGGGGAAAAAAAACAACACCAGGCTCTTCCTGCAATTGGCTAGCGAACTTGGGAGTAATGTCCAACCCATGTGGGTGGCCAAGTCTCCTAGATCTTGCACTGATTACCGTGTGGTAGGCCCCGGCTTTGCCGCTTGTCGGGTTAGGCGCAGTACCCAGGGGTCCCCAGCTCCAACAACAACAAGCATTTTCTCACGTAAACTCTGTCCCCAGTCCCAGGGGCCAGGCCAGCATCTTGCTCCCCCACTCCGTAGTTCCCAGCCCGGGCAAAGGTGACCTGCTGGCAATGGCACCTTTGTTTGTGCCTCACAGGGCAGTTCACAAAGGGCCGCTTTCACCCATGTTATCGCATCTGCTCCCCCATGGCAGGGCCTGAGAAGAGTGGGTGTGGTTAGTCCCACTTTGCAGATGCAGGAACTGAGGCTCCGAGGGCCCAGGGAGCTCCCAAGATCACAGGGCTGATCAGCCAGGTGTTCTGAGTCCTAGTGCCAAGCCCTTTCCAGTCACCGAATACTATCTTCTGCCTCACTCCAAGACTCATGTCGCCATCAGGGAACTGCCAGCTTACGGGGAGGTGGGGGGGGGGCAAGCTGCTAGAGGAGGATGATACTGGGGACAACGGGAGTCTCCTGACAATTGTCAGTGCTCACCTTGCAGGGTTTTTTTTTGTGAAAATCCAGAGCTCTTCCTTGTTTGAGGTTTCCGGAGGGCTTCCTTTAGGAAAGTGTCTGGGTGACGTCTGGCAGGCACTGTGGGCCGCTGGCCTTGAAGGAGGAGGATTTGGGGCTTCTTGCTGTGGACTGAAGCTCCGAGAGGTTACGGGGACTCACAGTTAGGAAGCAGTACAGGTGGGATTTCAGACAATCTGGCTCTGGAGCCACACCCTTTCCCTGCCCCAGACCCTTGAATCCCCTCCGCGCCCAGGATGAGAGAGGTGCTCCGGGCGGAAGGGCTTGTGTGGTCGGTGGGGAAGAGCAAGTTAACCAAGAGCATCCTCCTCCGCTCTCTTTCAGATCGACCCCAAGGTGGCCTTTCCTCGGCGAGCACAGCCTAAAGTAAGCACGCCTGGGGACAATGCCAGGCAGGGGCCTTCCCAGCACCCACCCCACCCTGCTGTGGGCATGGCTTCTGGAACCTCTGTTTGGAATGTTTCCCAGAGGTCTGGGGTGGAAGGAGGGGTATTCTTTATGATCTGGCTCCATGGCTTGTGCTCTGGGATGGAGCTGGGGCAGGGGGTTGCCTGCAGGTGTCAGAAGAAAGGGGAACCCCCGCACGGAAGGGAGGATTCCTTGTCCTATATTTGAAGCCAGTATAGCGTGAGTCTAACTCTGACATCCCACATCACTGCCTCTGAGCCCAACATGTTGGGGGTCAAACACAGGACAGACTTAGCCTCTGAGGTTGAGCTCAGTAGAGGTGACCCTCGACACCGTTGTACCTCTGGGATAAGCTGCTATGAGGCTTACAGAGGAGGGACCCCGGGAACATGGCAATGAATGAATCCCCCTTTCCCGTGGCCCTGGAGACCCTATCACCTGCTGCCCTTCAACCTCAGTGGCCCAGGCTGCCCTCCCGAACACCCTTCTGTCACTGGCAAACTGGCCCATATTTCTGACAGAGGAGAATGGAACATGAACTCTGGGCAGTAGGACACACAGAACTTGGGGTGCCCGATTGGAGGCTCGGGTTTGGTTTCAGGCACAAGGCAACTGGCCAGATCAACCTGTTTAATCAGCCCAAGGCAAGGGTCAGTGGGGAAGGCTAGCTCTAGTGCAGGCAGCTAGGACCCCTGCATTTGCAGACCTCTGGGTCCAAGATGGGGGTCCATCTCCAGGACCTTTGCAAAGGGTGGGTGGGAGCTGGAGGGCTCTCGAAACCTGGTGGGTTCCTCTACGGGAGAGGAGACAGGAGAAGGACCGCCCTGAACAGGGTCTACCCCGGGACGTGAAGCCATTACAGAGCAGGTATTCAGGGCCACACCAGGGAGCTCGTGGTCAGAACTGGGTTAATTCCATTAAGCAGTTTGGTGACAGAAGGTACTTTAGTGTTAGGATGGGGCTGGGAATTGCCACGGATTAGCCATGCGCTCCTGGGGTAATTAGGACCATGTGTTCTTCCCCAAACAGGGCTGGGGCGACAGGGCCGCCAGGGGTGAGGAGGAGGGTGGCCAGGAAAATGCCCGCCTTGAGTTCAGAAAGACGCTGTGATGGGGGGCGAGGCGGGGAGTTGCTGCTAGGGCTTTGGGGCTACTGACCATCTTCTCTCCTACCTGCTCTTAGCCCTGAGGGAAAGCATCCTTCAGACACACACTCTGGGAAAGAGAGGCTGGCAAGGGTGGGAGGGGAGGCAGAGCAGCCAGCCCTGGTGTGGGGTGCACAGCTGCCCATGACAGGTCTAAAGGCGGGGGTCCGAGGGGAAGTGTGTGGCGGGGGTGGGCTTCTGAGAGGCTGGAGGAGCCACAGAGAGCTTGTCAGCTGGCATCCTGGCAGGGGGGCCTGAGGCCCTGCTGGTGGCAGTAGACCACTCCACTCAGATGCCCACTGTCTCGTTCCCTCCCTCTGACAGATGGTGACTCGAACGAAGAAGATCTTTGTGGGGGGGCTGTCTGTGAACACCACGGTGGAGGACGTGAAGCAGTATTTTGAGCAGTTTGGGAAGGTTGGTCTGCGTTTGGGGTGCTCCTGGTGGGGCAGGGGTGCTGCCAGGGTCAGGGGAGCGCTGCTGAATTGATAAGGCAGCCAGGGGTGTGGCGGGGTGGGGGAGGGAGCTGCCAGGTCACTCCAGTGCCCGCGAAGAGGTGAGATGAGCCCTCTTGTGGGTGAGAGCAGGCCAACCTGCCCTGCGGCCTCCTGGCCTGTGTCTGGGCCTCAGACTCTGGACAGGCCCCTGGGGAGGAAGCCACACAGCGGCTGTCCCTGTTGTTGCCCTTGCCCGTGTTTATCTTCCTTCTCCCAAGGGAGGCCTCGTTCCCAAGTACCAGTTCAATCCAGCCACCCGGGGCCTCCTGGGAGTGTGCACCTGTCCAGGCTACAGGCGGTTGGTGGCACCTTCCCCCACCTCTTCCTGGAGGCGCGATAAGGAGGAAGAGAATGACTCCCGGTTGCACTGAGCACCCCACTCACTGGCCCAGGCAGAGGGCTTGGGGCAGTTGAGGGAGCTGAAGAGGGCACCCTGGATCCCTGATGGGGCCCAGAGGCTGGTTCTGAGAGGCATCAAGCTGGGGGCTGCACCATAGTAGCATGGACCCTGGCTGTAGAGCAGGCCCTCAGAAAGGTTAGCAGCCTGGGCTGCCAGGCCCCACGCGCGGAGACTGTTGAGGGAAGAAGAAAGGTTATGAGTCTTGAGGGAGGAGGGTCCCTGGTGTCTTGAGTGAGAGGATGGGCTGGAGGCGGGGTCTCTCTGCGACCCCACCCAGGAAGAAGGGCAAGGGGAACTGGCGTGGGCCCCCCGAGGACGGCGCCGCTGGCCCGTGGGTGCTGGGGGGGGGCCCCGCGGAGACTCGGTGCCGTGCGGGCGCAGGACAGGCGGGCCGGGGCCCCAGAGGGAAGGGCGCTCCTGGGAAGCAGCAGGCCCGCTCGGCTCCGGCGGGGTGTCTTTGTGTCTGAGCGCCGAGCACTGGAGCTCGCACTAATCTGATCCAGCAGCTGTGATTGGAGGCCGCCTGCCCCCGGGGCCGGCGTTGCCACGGCAACCGGGCCCCAGGAGAAGCCGTCCTCGGCCGCGTCTTTTGTTCGGGCCTAAATCGGCGTTGGCATGTGAAACCGGCCCGGGGAGGCCAGGGGGAGCGAGAGGGGGACAGCCGGGGATGCCAAGGGCCCCGCGGTGGTGGTGGTGGTAGTGGTGGTGGTGCGTGTGGGGGGGTCGCCCCCCACCTTCCCTGGGGGGGGTCCCCCCTACCTCCCCCGCCCCGGATCGAGGGGCCGCCGCCGAGGGGGGAACAATAGTCAGCCGCCATGGCTGCCACTCAGGCTTAGCAGCCGCCGAACTTGGCGGCTCCCACTGGTCAGCAAGCTTCGGCCGCCTCCCCTCCCCCTCTGTCCCCCTGCCCCGGGGTTCCCATGGAGACCAAAGCCTATTAAGGACACTGGGCTGGTAGCCTCCCTCCCCTCAGCTGGCCCCAGGGAGGGGACACGAGTGGGAGGACCCTGGACCTCCAGCCACTTTCTTTGCCCACTGCCCCAGCTTCAGCCCACTCGGCTGAGGCTCAGGCTGAGAGGTCGGGCGACCAGGGATGGCAGAGCGAGGACGATGGGATTGGACCAAGTCTGTTTAGTGGCTCAGGGGACGTTCTCCGTGAGCACAGGAAGGAGGAGGGTGCAGCTTCCGTTCATTCAACACGTGATTAGCCAGCACCTGGTCCAGTCAGGGTGTTCAGTAGATGCTCCAGTGGGACCTTCTAAGTCTCCCATGGCAAGCTAATCCAGAACAAGGCTCATCGCAGCGACTCCTTAGGAAGCCCTTGCACCTTCCTGGTGCTGTGACTTAGTTAAGAAGGTTCTAATCACTCTTTCATTTAATTACTCCCCATAAGATATACCAGGGGTCCTCAAACTATGGCCCCGCGCGGGCCACATGCGGCCTGCTGAGGGCATTTATCCGGCCCACTGGGTGTTTTTGCCCCGTTTGGCTTTTTATTTCAAAATAAAATATGTGCAGTGTGCATAGGACTTTGTTCATAGTTTGTTTTTTTTAACTATAGTCTGACCCTCCCAATGGGTCTGAGGTACAGTGAACTGGCCTCCTGTTTAAAAAGTTTGAGGACCCCTGAGATAGACAGAGTCCCCCAGGGGTGCAGTGGGCAAGTGTACCAGGCTGTCTGTTCCACACACGGTTGGCGGTTCCTTTTGGTTGGGTACCTTGGAAGAAAGGCCCGGCAGTCTCCTGGCAGTACTTGTCTGTGTGCGTGTGTCCCGCCATCGAAGACCCTGTAGCGCACAGTTGAATCGGACGCTTGTGGTGTCCCCCATGAGTTGAAATTGACTCCAGGCCAGGTGGTTTGCAAGTTAGACCCAGTTTGTGGAAGATGTGAATGTTTGCCATGCGTGGGGTTAAATAAGATGCATTATTGATGTTTTTCAAAATAAAGACCATAGACATGACCCTGCTCCTTTTACAGATAAGGGGCTGAAGACATGTAGCCGCTTGCCCAAGGTTACCCAGCCCGCCTGTGCGGGGTTCCGAATTCCAATTCCAATTCTTGAAGGTTGAGCTTATTGACACAGCCTTCCTTTTTTAGGTTTCTGGTTTCCTCTGGGAAACCAGTTTTGAGCAGGAAGGGTCTGGCCGTTTCTGGAGACTCAGACTGGCTTCTTGGGGAGGGAGGTGGGCACTGCTGTACGTCCCCAGGACAGGGACCTCCGAGGGATTCTCAGGGACCCAGCTCTGTCCTGGCTCCAATGGGGTCCTGGTTCTCCTAGCGGGAAGTCAAGGCTGGGTGCAGCCTGTGGCCTTAGAAACCTGAAGCATCAGCCAAGTTCAAGGTCTGTCTCCTTCCCTTGAATGAGGCAGGAGAAGTCGGGTCCACGTCAGATGACAGACTTAGAGAGAAAAGGGAAGAGAGTTGGGAGAGCACGGATCATGCTCCGTGGCCCCATGATCCTGTCCTTTGGATGCGTGGCCCCATTTGGGGGAGAGGGAGTCAGACCTTGGCTTAAACCCCTGGGATGCCTGACCTTAACCTCTTAAGGTAAGGAGGAGGCACCAGAAGTCAGCAGAGCGAAGGAGGCGTGAAGGAGGTGGGCCTGAGAGGAGAAGCAGTCTTTGGCTGCCACCTCTCCAAGAGGCCAGCTGGACAGAGTGGGAAAGAGAAGGCTGGGGCCGGAGAAAGAGTGTGGTAATAATATAAACCTCCCCTTCCTCCACCCCGGCCCCTCCCCCAGCCTGTGGGAGGCCTGCTTGCTTTAATTACAGCCTGTAGCTAAAGGAAACCTCAATCAGAGTAAAGATCTGAACCAGGAGAAGGGCGTCCAGTCTGGCTGGACTAGCCACTGCCTGGACTGGCTTTCTGGGCAAAGGGAGAAAGTTCTGCTTCCTCATCCCACTCGTCCTGCTCCCAGACTTTCTCAGCTAGCACCCCTTCTGCACCACCACCCACTGCCTCTCGCCTTGGGCTAGGGTGGCTGTTCTCAACCTGTGGGTCGCTACCCCTTTGGGGGTCGAACGACCCTTTCACAAGGGTCACCCAATTCCTAACAGCAAAATGACAGTGATGAAGTAGCAACGAAGATAATTTTATGGTTGGGGGGTCAGCACAACCCGAGGAGCTGTATGAAAGGGTTGCGCAGCATTAGGAAGGTTGAGAACCACTGGGCTAGGACTTGCTGTGTGACCTTGAACAAGCCACTTCACCTCTGTGAGTCCATTTCCTGTACCTACAAAGTGGAGCTCCTACCACGTGGGCATGTGGGGTGGATGGAGGGGCTTGGAGACCAGGTGCTTAGAGCTGCAGGGATGTCGGCAGTGATTGGATGGCGGTAGGGCAGCTTGGTGGCCTCCAGTTGGGGTTTCCACATGGACAGTGATTAGGCTTTAGGATGACAACTACTCTGGCCTGGACTGGGAAGGGGGGGGATGTAGAAGCGCCTGCTCCTGGTCTGTGGTGGGGCCCCCGCAGCACCTGGCTGGTCCTCCACTGCAGGCTCTGTTTCAGGTAGACGATGCCATGCTGATGTTTGACAAAACCACCAACCGGCACCGAGGTTAGTGTGTGTCATCGCCCCCCGCCCCCCTACTCCCAAGCTGACCCGGGGCCTGTGGTCAGCCAGGGGCTGCAGGTCACAGCTGCCCTTTCATCTTGCTTCTTGACATCCTATCCCTGAGGAGGAGCTGCATCCTCTCTGGGGCCTGGCCTTACAGAAGGCTTTTGTCCCGCCCGTTTCCTGTGCAGACACTCGAGAGGAGCAGAGGAGCAGGGCCCCCCCACTCCCCACCCCACCCCCCAGCTGAGCCCTCTGTCCCCGCCCCAGCTTAGTGCCTGCTGGGCCTCCCATGTCCCTGGTAACCAGAGCCCTGGCCAGGCCACCGCAGGGTTGGGTCAGGCTGACTCCACAACCCCAGGCAGTCTGCTGGCACCACCAGCCACCCCCCAACCCCCCCGGCCTGGCCCAGCACCCTCCTCTAGCTCCCTTCCCTGGGGGTCATCGGGCCACAGGCAACCTGGCAGTTTATCTTACCCTGGTCTTCCTTTTGGAGAAACCCCATCGCACCCCCTGGGGCACACCCCACAGGTGGCAAATCAGTTTCTCTAGTTATTTAGGGCTTTCGGTCTTTTGGGGGGAGGTAGGATATACTCCATGCCTGCATGCATGTGTGCTTACATATCTGTAAATCAGAGGGTATTGGTGTCTGAATGTACACATCTCGTGTATGGAGGGGTGCCCCTGTGAATGCACCTGGGTATGAGTGTGTGTGTGTGTGTGTGTGTGTGTGTGTGTGTGTGTGAGTGTGTGTCTGCCCCATGAGTGCCTCCGGGTCTCGGCTGGGTGTGTCTTTGCGCAGCTGCTTGTGTGAGCTGCCTGCTTCTGGGGATGTTTAGCTTGGAGGGGTGGGTGTTGGAGAAGCAGCCGTGTATTCCCATCCCAGCTCTGCCACTTCCTGAGTGGCTGTGTGACCTGGGGGGTGGGGGCGGAGTTGGCAGGGGAGGGCGGGTAGCCACTTCGCTTTGCTGAGCCTCCATTTTGTCATCTGTAATTTGGGGCGCCATGGGGAGCACCTTCTGCTGGATGCTTGCCTGCTACGGAGGCATGCTGAGGTTGGTGTGGTCCCTGGGAACCGGAGCTGACCCTGCTTTGACCGCTTGCTCTCCCCACAGGGTTCGGCTTCGTCACCTTCGAGAGCGAGGACATCGTGGAGAAAGTGTGTGAAATCCACTTCCATGAAATCAACAACAAGATGGTGAGCTGCACGTGGGTGGGGCCGAGTGGGGCAGCCGGCTGAGCGGGGTGGTGGTGGGGGGTGGTAGAGGTAGCCCGATAGGGACCTGAACTTCCAGCGGGGAGTTGTGCCCTGCGGCGGTGAAAGAGCAGCTTGTGTAAGCAGAGGCCTGAATAGAGACCCTTACTGTTAGTCTAGGCCAGGGGTCAGAAGACCTAATCCTGCCCCACACAACCATGTAAACAAATACCTTTTCTTTTTGGGTAAATGAATGAGATCACCACCGTCTGAATCATATCTGAATAATATGCGTTAAAATGTTGCAGTTTTACTTCGGAGCCACGTGCACGTCCGGGCTGCTTAGGGCTCTCTGGGGGCAGTTTGCTAACCCGTGGTGGAGGCTTCCCTGGCCGATGGTTCGCTTTCTTTCTCGACATCCTCTGTGAAACCAGGGTAACAGTGCTGTGGCTCCGTCAGAGTCAGCGTAAACGTTTGGGAAGATACATTGTGTGCAAAGCCTGATTGATACATGGTGGACGCTCCATCCATGGTGGCGGTGCAGATTTCTTGGCCTGCTGGCCGCAGGTCAGCAGTTCGAACCCACCAGCCATTCCTGGGGAGAAAGAGGAGGCTGTCTGCTCCCAAACGACTTGATGATCAGAAGGGTTTTGTTTGTTTTTGTTTTGTTTTGGTGTGCGTAATGAATGGTGTCCCTGAGTCATACAAGGAGTGGGTGCACTTAAAACCCTGTTAACCAACAGGTGTGGGTGTGGGTGGTGATTCTGGTTCACCTAGAGGTGCTTAGGAAGAAAGGCCTGGCTATGCATGGGAAAACTAGCCACTGAGAATCCTAGGAAGCACAGCTGTGCCCCTGCACACCTGCAGTCACTAGGGATCGGAGTGGACCACGGTAACCAGTCGATACCAAATGAGAAGGAAAGAGGTTGTCCAGGGAGCAAAAGGGACAATAGTCCCCGGTCGGTCAGGGACACTGATTCCAGGTCTCATTGCAGGTGGAATGTAAGAAAGCTCAGCCAAAAGAGGTGATGTCGCCGACGGGCTCTGCTCGGGGGCGGTCTCGAGTCATGCCCTACGGGATGGACGCCTTCATGCTGGGCATTGGCATGCTGGGTAGGTGTGGTGGCTGCCGGTGGCTTCTTCCTGCCCAGAACCACTCTCGGGCTGCGCGTGGGCGGTGCGTCTCCTCTGTGGTCAGCCCTGCTGTCTGAGTCACTGGGTGCCCTTCGGGATGAAGGGCCACAGGTTTAGTGGGTCATTTGGTTGGGCGGTGCTGCCCTCCAGTGGCGACCAGAAGAATGGCCTGGCTGCTCCACCTCCATGCTGTCCTTCCATCTATATAGGCCTGTCCCGTGGAGCCTTTCAGCACGTAGCTGGAGAGCAACTGCCACGTGCCCAGCCTTGTGCCTGAAGAGTGCTGTGGGGCCGAGGCAAGGCCTTTGGGAATGTGGGAAGGCTGCCTTTTCTTGTTCGTTCAGCTGATCATTTGTGGGACAGCTTCTGAGAGGCAGGGACTGCCCTCCTGGGGCTCACCCTCAAGGGGGGGGACTTGAGAATTGAAGGGCCGAGTCCACTGAGGCCCACAGAGATGGAGGTGTCTGAGCCCACCAGGAGTTCAGGGGAGGCTCCCAGGAGGAAGTGGGGCCTGTGCAGAGCCCTGGTGGGGTTGGCCAGGACTTGGCCTTGGGACAGACACTGAATCTATACACTTGTGAACGTGGCCCCCTGGAAGGGTGCGTCTCCTTGGGCAGACAGGAAGTATGCACCCAGAATGATAACAGTACTCGGAGGGTGGGGGAGCAGCACCTCTGAGCCATGCTCTGGGAGCTCAGAGGAGGGGGTGGGGTGGGCGGGGCCTGGGGGAACAGGTTTGGGATCCCACCAGAGGTTGAAGAGCCCTGTCCGTCTTCTCTGCACATTTTCTCTTGTTTCTTCAGCGACTTTTCTCTGGAAATAACGTCAACCTTTTAGAAGAGTTACCAACACAGAATTGTTCAGAGAACAGCCAACCATACCCCTCACCCGGATTCGCCCATTGTTAACATCTCATTTGGTCATGTGCACTCTTGTGATTTTCCCCGAATCACTAGACCAGCGGTTCTCAACCTGTGGGTCTCGACCCCTTTAGGAGTCAAACGACCCTTTCACAGGGGTCGCCCGATTCATGACAGTAGCAAACTGACAGTGATGAAGTAGCAAGGAAAATAGTTTTATGGTTGGGGGTCACCACCACAGGAGGAGCTGTATGAAAGGGCCGAGGCATTTGGAAGGTTGAGAACCGCTGTACTAGACAGTAGGTTATAGACCAGAGAGCATCAAGACCTCCATGGGGATAAACTGGAAGGATCACAGCCTTTCCCCTTGACCTCGTTGAAGTTCCCCTGGTGCACCTGGTGGCTCTGGGCTTCTAGGTCTTCTGTGTGTATTTCCTAAGATGCAGGGGTATTCCGTCCTGTCCCACTGAGCGGGTGTCCCCTTTGTAAACTTCTCTTGGTGGGATGCGTTGATCGAACCAACTGTCTGTCGTCCGGTTTTCTCTGTCGACCTCCTCGTGCTTTGAAGCACAGGTGTGCAAGTACTCCCGCCCAGGGTCCAGGCCAGGAGCAGGCCTCGCCATTAGCTGTCTTCTCGTGCGCGTCCTTTGATCCGTAACATGGGGAGCATTTGCTTCTTTAACGAATCTGCTGTGCTCGCTGTTCAAGACCCTCATTATCTCTTCGTTCCATTTTCCTGCGCACTTTGGGGGGGGGGGGCCTTGTCAGCATGGGGGCCGAGAGTCGGGGAGCCAGTCAGAGCTGAGGCGGTAGCCCGCTGCACCAGTGCCACCGCCAACCGCGCGTCTCTGCTCCTCGCTGCAGCGGGAGCTGCAGATCTGAAGTTGGGGTGGGGGGCGTGCTGGCCTTGCTGCTGAGAGAACTCAACACAGCAGGACGGACGCTGGTCCGACCGTCTCCCCACGTACAGAGCAGGGGCGTGGTGACCTTCTTCTAGCTCGGCAGCCATGCTCACCTCCTTTTCCAAGTTATCCCTCCGCTGGGAAAAAGGGAAGGGTCGCTGCGAGTCAGAACCGGCAAGTGACCACTGGATTTGGGTCCCCTAGACTCACTGCCCCGCAAGCTTCCTATCCAACCCTTGGTCAACAACTGCCGCCCCCCTCCCCCCACAAATATCTGTTAAATTCGTGCTCCTAGCAGGCACTGTGTTGGTGCCAGGGATACATGAAAGAGGGCAATAGGGAAGACAGAATAGCGGGTAAGCTAAGTCCCCATAATGCCAGTCAGTGTGATGGGGGTGTGGGGTGGGGGGCACAGCTGATAGAGATGGTCGCTGACTGGAGAAGGAGTGGGGGACTCCTGCAGGGGAGACCTCTCTGGAGGGGTGACCTTCCAGCTGAGGCCTGCACCCGTGGAAGGACCCAGGTTGTGCCCAGATCTGGGGAACAGTGTCATGGGCAGAGGGAACAGCCAAGGCAGAGGCCCCGAGGTGAGGCGAGCGGTGTGTCTGAGAAACAGCGGCGGAGGAGCCGGTGTGATGAGGACGGAGGTGGCCGCCGCCCCAGGGCCTTGGTGAGAAGTGAGGATTTTGCTGCCAGTCACTAAACATCACCTACCTCCCTGAGCCTCAGTTTCTCTGTCTGTAGAATGGGGTTCCCAATAGCACCTGAGGCTGGCGTCAGCGGTTTGACGGTTCGTCTCCATCTCTCATCCAAGGGTTGGCAGGTCGAATCCACCCAGCGGTGCCTCGGAATAAAAGGCTTGGTGCTTTTCTGCCAAGAGCACCACTGGGAAAGCTGGGCGGAGTGGCTCTACCTGTAACACACAGGGGTCACTTGCACCAGACCCGAGCATTCTGTTGAGGTTACATAGGGTCCACAACCCAGACGGGGCTTGGCCCACAGAAGGCATTTAAGAAGTGAGGCCGCCGGTCTGCATGGGACGAGATGGGCTGGGCACAGGAGTGGGAGCCCCTGCCCTGACCCGGTCCTTTTGCCCCCTTTAGGTTACCCAGGATTCCAAGCCACAACCTACGCCAGTCGGAGTTACACAGGCCTCGCTCCTGGCTACACCTACCAGTTCCCTGGTAAGTCCTGCTTGGTGTCCCCACTACTGCCAGCATGACTACGGCTCCCGGGCAGTCTGACTTCCTTAGGGCAGTGTCTGAGAGTGCATGGCTCTGGGATGGGGTGGGTTCTGCCTACCAGAGGCCTGAAAGGAAGGGCATGTCTGAGGAAAGAGTACCCCCCACCCTCCCCAGGATTGTAGTGGGCGCTCCCCACCGGCCCTGCATGGCACGCCTCTCCCCAGCCACCTCCACCTGTTTCCTGCCTCTACCCTCCCCTCCTCAGGAGTTGCCACTTCCATCAAAGAGAAAGGGTATCCGGGACCCCCTTCCTCCTACCTGCCTTGAAGGGTGGGGTGAGGGGACCTCCCCGAGGACTGACGTTGGGACATTTATAATGACTGGAGGTCTGTGATTAGATACTAACCTGAAGGCGGAAGGTTCAAACCCATCCCCAGTGGCCCTCTGGCCCTCAGCCAACACGAAGATGATGTCCATGGGACAGTTCTCCAGAAGCCGGAATTGACCGGCAACAGTGACTGGGTTTGGTCCCTAAGGACCAGGTGCCTCAGCCCAGTTCTTTCTGAGCCCAATAAGACCTCTGGGGGTCGTCTTTCATCTGTCAGTCAGAATCCACAGCACGCCAGCCCAGACCACACGGCAGGGCCAGCGAAGTGCCCCACTGTGCCATCCTGGCCAGTCAGTGTGGGCACCTTTGACATATCAAAGGCCAATTCTGGCAGGCTCCTCTCCCTCCGTGGTGGGTCTCCTTTTTTCGGAGGGCCCCCCAGGCGCGTGCATCACCCACCTCTAGGGATCCTGTGTCTGCCCACCTGCGTTAGAAAGAATATCTGGCTTCCTGCTCGGCCGTTCCACTTGGAGGAGGGCCGTAGGCAGCCACGGTGCCCAGCCGGAATGGCATGATCCTGAAGTCCCACTTCCACAAGGACTGGCAGCGGCGTGTGTCCACGTGGTTCAACCAGCCAGCACGGAAGATACGCAGGCACAAGGCCCGACAAGCTCGCACAAGGCCCACATCCGGCCCCATCCGGTCCACCGTGCGCTGCCCTACTGTGCGCTCTCACACTGTGCAGGCTGGGGCTTCAGCCTGGAAGAACTGAGGGTGGCCGGCATCCACAAGAAGGTGGCCCGCACCATCGGCATCTCCGTAGACCGCCAGAGGCGGAACAAGTCCACCGAGTCCCTGCAGGCCCATGGGCAGCGGCTAAAGGAGTGCCGCTCCAAGCCCATCCTCCTCCCCAGGAAGCCCTCGGCCCCCAGGAAGGGAGACAGCTCAGCGGAGGAACTCAAACTGGCCATGCAGCTTCCTGGACCTGTGATGCCCATCCGAAACGTCTACGAGAAGGAGAAAGCCCGGGTTATCACGCAAGAAGAGAAGGACTTCAAGGCCTTCGCCAGTCTCCGCATGGCCCGTGCCAACGCCTGACTCTTTGGCATCCGAGCGAAAAGGGCCAAGGACGCTGTAGAACAAGATGTGGAGAAGAAGTAGTGTGGCCAGGACCTTTAACAAACTCCCCCACCCCCCTTCCCCCCAAAAAAGAAAGAATATCTGATGACGGTCTCGGGAAAGGTTGGCACAGTGTGCCCATCCCCACCCAGTGCTTCCCATGCCCCCTGTTCGGTGCCGCTGGTTCTGTGTCCTGCAGTTCCCATCCCTCTAGCCTCCCTGCCCAGGAACCCTGGCATCAGCGTGGTGATGCATTGGGCTGCGATCCGCAAGGTCCGCAGTTTGAAACCACCAGCCGCTCCTTGGGAGAAAGGTGAGGCTTTCTACTCCCATAAGGAGTCACAGCCCTGGAAATGCACAGGGGCAGTTTCTATCCTGTCCCGTAGGGTCGCTTTGAGTGGGCATCGGCCCGATGGCAGTGAGTCAGGCTCCTCCTGGTGCGAGAGCGGGGGCTGGGGGCTCTCTTTGTCAGCCCCTGACTGCCTGATCCTCACTCGCACCAAGGCCCGAGGGTTGGCCATCTCCGCTTTACAAAGAAACGGGCTCAGCCCCCTAAGAGAACTCGGCCGGAAGTAGAGACGGCTGGAACCCAAGGGACCTTGACTTGCGGGACCCTGGGGCTGCTTCTGTCCCGCCTCCTCAGATCCTCACAGAAACAGGAGAAGCAGGGGATTCTGGGAGATGCCTTGGGCACGTTTATGTCTTCATTTTGCCCTCCTGTCTTTGAAGACGTTTCTGGTCGGGAGCACATCACAAGCCCACCCCCTGTCGTGTCAACGATTGCCGCATATCCACTCTGGTGACCGCCCTTCTGGCCTCCCTCCCCCAGCACGAGTCAATGCCCCTGGAGCAGACGCTGCCCGCTGTCCATGCGTAGCCTGCAGCTGGGGGGGTCAGGTGGGAAGCCGTGGGGAGGGGCAGGAGCCTGTAGACGAGGAGGGTGACGGTGGCGACACAGGCCCAGAGACGGTAGCCAGGTCGGCGAGTTGCACGTGTGGAGGGCGTTGGATCGACTGGGCGGGTTTCAAGACAACCACAAAATGATTTTGAAAACCGAGCTCCAGCAAGGCCCCTTGCCCAGGGTAGAGGTGGCAAGGTGGCAACTCCTTCTCTCCCCCTCTCTACTCCTCTCTGTCCCTTTGTGCCTGTGTCTCCTCCCGCTCAACCTCCCCTGCCTGCTGGGGACCGTGCTCACCTCCACCCCACCCCACCCAGCTCCTGGGTCCCGTGCATGGCCTGTCCCCCACCCAGTGTCCCTGTGGGTGCCTATGTCTCCCCTGGACCTCCGCTGCTTCCTCCTAAGCTGTTTTACGTTTCGTTTTAGAGTTCCGTGTAGAGCGGACCCCTCTCCCGAGCGCCCCAGTCCTCCCCGAGCTTACAGGTCAGTCCCTCGGGTTTTGAACACCTCACAGGCCGCAGGAGGCGAGAGAAAGGCCCCAGGAAGCGTCCTGGGGAAAGGCCCCAGGGAGCCCTCCCGCCACGTGTAGCCATCGGGCCAGGCCCAGCAGGTGGAAGGAGGCTTAGGCACTCATTCATCTGATTGGCAGATACTTACCTGGTGCTGCCCATGTGCCAGGCACCGCTGTGGGCTCTGGGGTCAGGCCAGGGTCTCGGAGCGCCACCCTGGTTCCAGCTGGCCCTGCCTGCAGACGCAGTGCCGTCAGATCTCCTTTTTCCTGGAGCAGCCAGAGGTCTGGCTTTTGCTCTGATAAGGAAACGGGGGATTCCTTTCAAATGCCGATGCCAAAGCCCAAACCTGTACAGCATCCCCAGGGTCGATGAGACACACCCGAGGGCCAACTGTGGGTCTCCCTCTGGGTGAGTGGGAGGAACCAACTGGAACTTTCTCTTGGACCAGGTTGCTCACTCTGGAGCCCGCAGTGAGGCCAAGATGTGGTGTGAGCGTGCGGACGCGGTGGTGGTGGTGGGGCGGGGCACGTGGTCTCTGTTGAACCTGCTTCTCCCCTGCCGCCCCAGACTCTTGACCCCAACCTGGCAGCGTGTGGAGGATGTTGGCTTTCGATAAGACCTTCCCTCCTAGCGCTGGCCACCGGCCCTTCTCCCCACAATCCATTTACGAGACGGGAAGAGAAGCCTGGGGTGGGGCAAGGAGGGCGAATTCTTCCCTGAGCTGTTTTGGGTGAGGGGCTCAGGCCAACTGACAATGCAGGAGATACTGTGTCAGGCCTTGAAGGGGCCCCCGCAGGGCAGGAAGGAGCCAGGCTTGACTTGTCTTGACTTGTCTAAGCTCACGGGCTCGGACTTTCTGTGGAAATGCCCAGACAGACCAAAACCCAGCCCTTGGGACTTTGGCCCTGCTCTCAGGACCACCACAGATGCCTGGGAGCCCCCCTCCCCTGCCGTCCCCGGGTGGGACCAACCGTGGGGCAAATGATGCCCGCACTGGGCTGCTGATCGGGAGATTGGAGGTCTACACTCACCCACTGTCTTCTCAGAACAAAGGCTTGATGAGCCATTTGGGAAATTCAGCCAGTGAAGCAGGCCGAGTGGCATGCTGGGTTAAGCCCCCCGGCTGCCGACTAGAGGTCAGCCCCAGCTCGGACCCACCAGCCCCTTCAGAGAAGAAAGCCGAGGCAGGCTGCGTCCATCAAGACCTCTCTGCCCTGTCGGGTCACCCCGAGTCAGAAATCGCCTCCAGGGCAGTGAGTTTGGCCTGGCTTTTGAAAACCCCCGAGCGCAGTGCCACGCTGACACCCCGGGGTCCCTGAGTTGGCATCGCCTCAAAGGCCCCTGGTTCCCAGGGTCCCTTGTCCTGAGATCCACTTTTTCTCCAAGGCCGCCCAAAGCGGCACCCCCCTCGGTACCTAAGACTGCACCCTCCAAGGCTGCAGTAGCAGCTCCAGCCAGTAGGGGGAACTCACCTCTTATCACATTCGAGCCAAGAGGTGTTTTTTGTTTGTTTGTTTGTTTGTTTGTTTGTTTTTTTAAGCAGAAGCCTCTCTGTCCCCTCAGCAGACCCTTATTAAACATCGTTGTCTAGTACAAGACAGAGCTTTCGATGCCCAGGGATGAAGGAGTCAACCAATCCAGGAAAGAGCAGGGTCCCCTGTTTATGGTGTGGAGCGCGGACAGGGGGCTGGGGGAACTGGGAGTTCTTTCCTGCCTGGGGTGGTCCGGTAGGGCCCAAAGACAAGGACTGGGGTGCACTCCATTCATTCACAGAGGACGTGTTCTCGGGAGAGGGTGCTAAGCAGAGGTGGCGTCCAGCCTCCTGGTCCCTCAGAGGGCCCCAGAAGGTGAACTATACCACCGACTCAGTCTCATCCTGAGAGAGAGGCTGGCCTGGTGTGTCTGTGGCCATCCATCATAGCCCGCCGTGCACTGGAGTTGGGGCGAGGGACATGGGTGGGGCAACTCTGCCAGTTGCAAATGACACAGCGCTCTGGGAGTGAGGGGACCTGCCCAGCAGAAGGGGTCTGGGAGCGAACCAGCATCGCCCACCCAGGGTCCTGAGTCCACCCTGCCTCGACCCTCGATGAGGCGCGGACTGTCCCTGGGGAGAAGTGGGCAGAGATGCCTATTGGGAAACCATGCTCTCCCCCTTCATCCATTCCATGGGCACAAAGGGCAGCCCATGGGCGCTCTTTCTGAGATGAGGCTGGGCTGAGGGGATCTCCGCCCAGAGGGTGGGGGTCCCCTTCATCCACCACCACCACCTCACCCCCGCCCTCACCGGCCACACTCAGGCGCCCTTCCCTTCCCTTGCAGCCATTCCTCTCACTGCTTATGGACCAATGGCGGCGGCGGCGGCAGCAGCGGCTGTGGTTAGAGGAACAGGTGAAGCTTCTGAGCAGAAGGACACAAGGGGGGGAGGGCGGGAGGGGATGCAGAGAAGCCCAGGGGAGGAGAGGGGAGTTGGCCGAGGCCGCCCTTATCAGAGGGGCTCATTCACTCCCAAGTATTAGCTGAGCACCTACTACGAGCACCTACTACGTGCTAGGCACTGGACTCCAGCTAGGAGTGGGGCCGCGTGGCCTCTGCTCTCCAGAGCCGGCATCAGGCATGACAGTAGCAGGGCTTCAGCAAGTTTGTGGGGGGGAACGCCTGTTTGTCTTACCTGCTCTGGGTGCTCCCAGCTGGGGGGCCTCCAGGGAAGGCCAGGGGAGGACACCCCGGAGCCAGGTCTCTAACCTCAGACCTGGAGGCAAACTGGAGGAGGGACCCGGCCCCTGCCGGAGGGAAGCACAGGGTGGGATGTAGAGGCTAGTTGGTGTGGGTGCAGAATGGGGGATCTGGGAAGGGGAGACAGCTCCAGGTTTCAGGAAATGCACCCCCTCCCCTGGTACAGGATGGGGAGGGGCTTGGACGTGCCTGAAGAGAGCGAGGCAGGGAGACCTGAGAGGAGGCTGCCCAGTGACATGCAACTCACTCAGGGTGGGGTGGCTGGGCTAGCCAGGATTCGGGAGGGGTCAAGGTCAGGGTTGCTGGGGCCATTGACGTAAGCTGTGGGCCAATCACCATCTTCTTTCTGGGTTGTCAGGCTCTCACCCCTGGACGATGGCTCCCCCTCCAGGTTCAACTCCCAGCCGCACCGGGGGCTTCCTGGGGACCACCAGCCCTGGCCCCATGGCTGAGCTCTACGGGGCGGCCAACCAGGACTCGGGGGTCAGCAGTTACATCAGTGCCGCCAGCCCCGCCCCCAGCACCGGCTTCGGCCACAGTCTTGGGGTGAGTGGCGAGGCCCCGGTGCAGAGAGAGCAAGTTTGTCTGTCTGCAGGAGAAGAGACACAAGGGATGATGGGTGGAGGATGTGCATCCCTAAGAGGGCATGGGGGTGGGAGGAGGCTGCCCTCCATTCAGTCGGCATCTATGCAATAACAGCCCTCTGGGTACCAGGCAAAGGAGCCCTGCTGCCAGAGAGGTTACACTTGGGTTGGAAACCACCAGCTGCTCCGCGGGAGACAGACAGACAGATGGGGCTTCCTCCTCACGTACAGAGTTCCAGCCTTGGGAACACACAGGGGCAGTTCTACCCTGCCCTATAGGGTCGCTAGGAGTCGGCATCAACTCGATAGCAGTGAGTTGGGTCTTAGTGTGCTGTACCAGGCAAGGGGCTCTGGTAAGCATTGGATTGCTAACTGCAATCCAATCAGTGGTTCAAGCCCACCAGCCGCTCCGCGGGAGGAAGATGAGGCTTCTGTTCCCGTAAGGACAGAGGCATGGTCTCGGAACGCCTAGATAAGGTCACTCTGAGTCAGAATCCACTCAGTGGCCGTGGTTTGGGTTTGGGCTTGGTGCACCTGGCATTAGATGGGCATTAAGGCTACTGTGAGGAACCCTCAAATGCCAGCCAGAAGGTTGGTAGTTCATGTCCACCCTGAGGTACCTCAGACAATAGGCTTCCCAAGCCTGTGCCTTGGATCTACTGCACCTGCAGGGCCCCCATGAGTTCACTTCTAACGCAGGGACCCCTTGATGTTTACCGGGGGTGGGGGTGATGGTTATATCCCATCTCAGGCCCTCCCCCAAATTTTCTGTCAGACCCCAGTGGAGCAGACATAGCATGGCTCGGGAAAGCTCCGTGCCTCTCCTGGGGGTGCCTGTGGGAGGCCAAAGGAGCGCCCCCAGGAGGGCGTGGCTCACCCCAGCACAATAGGAGCCGACTTCTTTTCTCCCCAGGGCCCCTTGATCGCCACAGCTTTCACCAATGGGTACCACTGAAGCAGGGGACAGGTGGCAGGAGGTAAGGAGGGCACCGGGTATGGTGGGGCAGGGTGCCAGGGAGTCTAGGACACGCCCCCCTCCCCGCTCTCACAGAACCCCCAGCCTAGCCGAGGAGCCAGACTCAGGAAGCAGGTCCCGCCTGCTGCCTTTCAGAGTGTCCGTTAGCAGCAGGCCACTCGTGTGGTCCATGTGTCAGCTCGCAGGCTGGAAAAGGCACTGGGGGCTCCGTGAGGCTGACTTATCCAAGTCTGAGCAGGCACACGCCCCTGGGCACTTGCGGACATTTCTTTTAAAGCCTGCAGGGAGCCGGCATGCCCCTTGGGAAGGCCAAGGATGCAGCAGATGATGGTGACTGTTGACCTACATGCTCAGAGGAATGCATGTCCCTGAATTGTCTTGTAAAAAGACATAGGAAACATAGCAAAGCTTTGGTCACCCGAATATTACACACACACACACACACACACACATATTACACACACACACACACACACAGCAACCGTAGAGAAGGAAACCCAGAAACAACATGGATACATTCCGTTTCTAGAAGGCCACAAGCCTGGACCCACAGAAAGGGCCGTGAATGAGGGTGGCAGCAGGGTGGGCGGGTCCTAGGGGTCCAACGGGGTGCTGACCCACGGACGGTTCACTCATCCGTTCAGGCAAACATTCACGGCTGGCGAACAAGGCACGCCGCCCATTCTGCACACAAGACAGACTGGACCGGGGATAGAAGTGTGGACATCTGAGACCAGTTGAATACACCCAGCTCCTGAGGGGAAGAGCAGTCAAAAGGGGGGCCAACTAGGGACAGAGCTCCCCAAGAAGGGGACCAGGGGAGGAGCATTCTAGTAGAACCCCCCATAACCGCCCTTCTGTTGTCCCCTCAGCACCCCAGCCTGCAGCTGACTGAGGACCACAGTGAGCCAGCCGAGGGGGCGGGGGACACCTCAGCCGCAGCCGCCACCCCCTCCCCCGCAGCGACTCGGACCCCCCACCCCCCCTACTGCCTGCCCGCTCTCCTTGGGCTTGGCCCCTGCCCTGCTGCCCACCGCACACACCCACCCCAACATCCTCGATCCTCCTTACTAACCTCCCTCTCTTCGACCCATCCGCCCCCTGCCTACTTTTATTTATTTTGGATTAGCTGGTTGTCCCGTTCCCCCACCCATTCTCCCCTCTCTCTCTCTCTGCTGTGCCCCCATAGGACCACCCCCCCAGAAAGCTTTTGTATCTGTGCATAGCTAGAGTGAGG